AGGTGCTCTACGGGGAATTAATATGTGCCACCTGCGAAACTTTGCGCTTGGCATTCAGAGATTTTCGCTTTAACCTGACAGTTACCGTTCGTAGTGGTATCACAAAGGACAAAGAACCTTAACCTAACCTAATCCAACCAATTGTTTCACTTCCCAGCTAGTCAAAAAGCGAGACCCCAAGTGCTTTAGTTACCTTATCTTGATTTTTCCCTTCCCTGATCTGGGCAGCATCTGTTGTTACAACTTGTCTGTATACATCTTCGTTGGGTCAGTCAATATGGTTGCATGATCTGGAGGTGCTCTGAATAGAGACCAAAACCAACAACTGTTTCCATCCCACCATCCATCTGTTATCCACCAGGAGCCACAGGTGCGGTTAACAATGCCATTCTTTTCCGTCGGTTGGCATCTAAGCCGGCTTTGCGCTCATTGTGCCAGCCACAAATTTAACTCATTTAATTCAACGGCCCCATTTAACGACTGCACTAGTTTGAAAATTTGTGGCGTCTTTAAGTTAATGATCATATGTATTCTAAACTTCTCAAAATGCACAGCAGACAGCACTTGATGTACCGAGGCATACGAATCTCCGAAACCTTCTGATTGTTTTCTGATTGCTGTTTTTATCCAGTCTAGAGCTCCATATTATGATGGGTCGGAAATTTAGGCGAACTTTTTGATCTCCTCTGGTATGAAGTGGACTATTAGTAGCCCAAAGTTTATTAGTTCGTAGTCGGAAAGTAGGCAATACATACATAACTCTATACAGTGGCTCAAACAAAAGACCGCGTGTTGATTTTTTTATATTCGTAATGTAAATTGAACTTGTTTTATGTATAAGTACAAAAAAAAAACCGCGAAAGCAGTCTCAAAAAAAATTTCTCAAAATTCAATGCGATTCTTAAGCCGGTTGAAACTTACACTTCATTAGACTAAAATTGTATGGGCTATAAAACTGCATACTCAAAGATGTTCTAAAGATTCAGATTAATTCATGAAAATTTGTTGAATTTTCCTAAATTTTATATAAAGTTAAAACTGTAATTTATATAGCATTGGTTTGGTATTTTTATAAAAAAAAAAAAAAAAAAAATTGCTCGAAAAACATTACGAATATTTAAAAAAAACAACACGTGGTCATTTGTTTGATTCACTGTATGTATGTAT